AGCAATCAGGAGTGGCTTCCTGGAGGAGGAGGCAGGACTCTGGGAACAGATGGGAGCACGGATGAAGGAGGGAGAAATAAACAGCAAGCGGAGGATGAAGCTGGTGAAAAGTGGGCTCTGAGAGGTCCGGAGGTGGGCATGGCCGCCATAGGGCCTGGGGCAGCAGGGACCCTGGCGGAGGAGGTGGCTTCTAACCCGCTTCACTCCCCAGGTTTGCAGAATGACGAGGACCTCCAGGCCCTGCTGAAGGGCAGCCAGCTGCTGAAGGTGAAGTCCAGCTCATGGCGGCGAGAGCGCTTCTACAAGCTGCAAGAGGACTGCAAGACCATCTGGCAGGAGTCCCGCAAGGTCATGCGGACCCCCGAGTCCCAGCTGTGTGAGTGGCCTGGGGCCAGCGAGAGGGGTCAGGGCGCGGAACGGGGCGGTGTGGAGTGACGATGGAGGGCCAGCAAAACCACAGATGGGGAAACTGAGACCAGGCCTGGTGGGGCACAGGTCAGTCATACAGCTGGGGCCAAGGAGATGCAGGCTGGCGGGGGGAGAGGGTAGGGACGGAAGGAAGACCGTGGTGGAGATGCAGGGGGCGGGGGGTACCTAGTCGTGACCATAGCTGGGGACAGCCAGGCCCGGAGCACCGAGGAGCTGGACGGGGTTGCCTGAATCGCACGTGTTCACCTGGGCAGCTGTGGGAAGGAGACAGGCTGGGCGGGTTAGAACTCCAGGTGTGGAGAAGCCAAAAGCCAGGCCCAAAGTCCGGAGGCAGATAAGGTGCTTCCGGGTGTCTGAGGCTGGGCCACAGGGCCAGCTCCTCCCTAGGGCTGGAGCCATGGGAGGGATATTGGGGCAGAGTGGGGCTGGAACACACAGAGAGAGACTGGCTGGGGAGCTCTCTGCAGAGCAGGGTCTGAGGGCTTTCTGGGAGCTTCCTTTATTAAAAAAAAAAATTATTACCATTATTATTTTTCATTTGACCAGAGAGAGACAGAGAGAAAGAGAGAGAGAAGGAAAGTGAGAAAGCAAGCTGCCAGGTCTGGGACTTGAACCACTATCAGCTATGTGGGAGTCCAGTGACTTAACCACCACGCTAGCTGCAGGCCCCTTTGGAAACTTCTGAAAAGGCCCAGGGAGCCAAGGTTCAGGCAGCAAACAGAGAGTGCCTCCTGCAATGGTTGGGTGAAAACTCTGCTGCCTTTTGCCCGCTAATGCAAGAATTCCCTGGAGAGCGATACTCCCTTCTGCACTTTTTTTTTTCCTTAGATTTTTTGCTATAAGGCACGTGCACTAGCCAGAGACACAGAGAGAAAAATTATTATTTTTTTCTCCCCAGAGATTTTTGCTATAGGATGTGCTCCCTGGAGAGACAGAGAGAAACAGAGAGACAGAAAGCGAACAGTCAGTCACGGGTGCGGGGGTGGCCCCATCACAATCCCTTCTTCATTCTCCTCTTGGGACTTTGGGCATTAAACCCACACGTGCCCAGTGTGTTTGGGCTGTCGGGTCCAGGACTCAAACCGCAGTCAATATGTGGGAGTCCAACAACGTAACCATTACGCCATCTGCTGGTCCCCTGCACCTGCATTCAGTGGGTGGGACAGTTTCGACCAAAGCTGTCTAGGACCCTTCTGCAGTGAGGGAAATATTCCGTCCTGCGTGGTCCTACATGGGAGCCACCAGCCACCCCTGGCTTTTGAGCCCCTGACACTGGGTAGCATGAGTGAGGAGCTGAATTTTTAAAAAATTAGTATTTAACTTTATTTATTCAATCATTTATTTTAATTTGACCAGAGAGGGGCAGAGTGAGAAAGACAAAGGGGAAGCGAGGAAGCAAGCCGCCGAGTCCAGGACTCTAACCGCGGTCGGCCATGTGGGAGTCCAGTGCCCTTAACTACCATGCCACCTGCCGACACCTAAGAGGTGAATTTTTAAAATTTAAACTAACTTAGGGACCAGCAGATGGCATAATGGTTATGGTGCTGGACTCCCACGTAGTTGATTGTTGTTTAAATGATGAACCCAGTGGCTTAAAACACACACCATGTGCGTGTGTGTGTGCATGCCCAAAATCCCAAAAGGAGAATGGAGGAGAAGGGATTGCGGCGTGGCCATCTCCCCTGGGGGGTGATTTTTATCTCTCGCTCTCTGTCTCCCTAGTGAACACACATGCCCTAAATATCTCTCTCTCTAAAAAAAAAAAAATGTAAATTAACTTACATTTAAATAGCCATAGGGGGGCTGGCGGCTTCTGAACAGGCAGTGCAGACAGATCCTTACAGCCTGGGTTTTTCAGCCTGGCCCCCTGGAAATCCCTCACCTGACCTTGTCTGGGGGGTGGGTGAGGAGGTGGGTCAGCCCACCGGCAGGTCTGTGGGGAGTGAGTAGGAGGAGGCCATGAAGAAGGGGAGGGTCGGCCCCCACCCAGGGCACCCCAGTATGGTGCCTTCTACCAGGCAGGGTCCTCTGGGTCTCAGAACCAGGACAGAACCCTAAGATGTGACCTGCCAGGCTGTGGAGGTGCCAGGGGTGGGGCAGGACAGGAGCAGGGTCAGGTGGAGAGAGCCCAGTGGGGTCCTTGGCGAGGTTTCTAGGGTGGGGGGGACTGGGGCTCCAGAGCATTCTCAGAAAACCACCTTGAGCCAGCGTCTCCCCCAGCCTGCTGCGGCCACTCAGCGCAGAGGTGACCTCCCAACCCTGCCCCTGTTGGTGGCTCCAGACAGGCTCCCCCTTAGGGCTGCTGGCCAGATACGGGGTTTCCTGTTAGATGCTGGCCAGTGGGGACTGTGGGAAGGGGAGCTCAGACTGAGACTGGGGATTCCCGGTGGCCTCCCCCACCTGGCAGCGCACATGCCTGACTCCCCTGGGGGTGCATAGCATCTGTGGGGGGTGGGCAAGGGGCAGACGGAGCAGGAGGAGGCCTGGTCCTTGCTATCAGAAACCCCATTCGGGCTGGCGGGGTGACAACCTCACACTGGGACCGCTGTGAGTCAAGGACAGGGCAGGCATGGGCCCGGGCGCAGGTGAGCGTGAGGACTAGCAGGAGGGGCCCTGAGACGGCCTGGCACCGAGCCCCCTCGCTCGCCGCTTCCCTGCCCTGGGTGAGCTGTGAGACTGTGGTCCTCAGCTGCACTTCACCCTGGGGACACTGAGGCCGGGTGAGGGAGGAGTGGACTGGCCTCCCAGTTCTCTCTGGCTCTGCTTCCTGCTCCAAGTCTCCTCCGGCCCTGCCTCCACCCGGCCTCCCCCACACCCCAGCTCTGGCTCCCACAGGCAGACCAGGTGTTATCAGCCATGAAGGCCTCTGGGCTTTCTCTCTGGTGCAGGCGGGGGGGCCGGGGGTCTCCACGGCTCAGGCTTCCTGTTTTCATTCCTGACCTGAGGCAGCTGTGGCTGCGCCCTGTGAGACCTGGTGGGGCACAGGAAGCTGTCAGCAGAGGGGTGGTGGGGTTACCCTCTGCACCCCAGCTGACCCGGGGCTCATGCATCCCACTCCCGAGAGCCTGAGGTCCCGGCTGGGCTGCATGTGGGCCTGCAGGTGGCTAGGAGGCCTCTGGTCACTCGGGGTGGGGTAGACACAACGGACAGACAGACTCCCAGCCAGAGCCAGTCCAGGACCCAGGGCAGATGGACGAGGAGGGCTCAGGATGGGGTGAGGCGGGGCAGAGGCACGGCTCAGCCTGCCTGCTGGGACTGGCTCCCGGGCAGGCCGCGGAGGGCACAGTGGGTGGACTAGCAGGGTCGGGCCTCTTTCTGGAGCCTGGAAGTCTGACCCGTGGTGGGAGGGCCCTGTCCCTGCTCCTAAAAGTGGCCTGAGGTTGTCTCAGACCCTGCAGGGATCTGTCCTCGTCTGCCCTGCCCCTCTCCCTTCTCTCTGGACTCGGCTTGCTCTCCAGGCCTGGCTCTGTCTGCATGCTGTGCCTTCTCCACTGAAGCCTTGCCCATGACAGGGGCCGGGCCTCACAGCGTTCTCTGTCCCTCCCCTCCCCACCCCATGCTCCCCTGCAGTCTCCATCGAGGACATTCAGGAGGTGCGGATGGGGCACCGCACTGAGGGTCTGGAGAAGTTCGCCCGAGACGTGCCCGAGGACCGCTGCTTCTCCATCGTCTTCAAGGACCAGCGCAATACCCTGGACCTCATCGCCCCGTCGCCGGCCGACGCCCAGCACTGGGTGCAGGGTCTGCGCAAGGTCATCCAGCACTCCGGCGCCATGGACCAGCGGCAGAAGCTGCAGCAGTATCCTTCCGGGCGGGCTCCAGCCGCGGCCTGCGGACACTGGCTGGGGTTGTCTCTGGGCAGCGTGGGCATGGAGGCGGCTCCGTCCTCTCAGGGCCCCATGGCAAACTGCCACGCACGGGGTGACTCCGACCACAGAGATCTTTACTCACAGTCCTAGGGGCTGGCAGCCTGAGACCTAGCTGTCCGCATGGTCATGACTGGGGAGGGCTGTCCCCCTCTTACAGGCGACGGCCTTCTGGCTGTCTTCTCACGTGGTGGGAGGGAGAAGGCAGGTTCTCTGGCATCTCTTCTTTTCTTCTTTCTTCTTATTTTTGAGAGAGATTTTTGCTATAGGGCACTTGCACTTGCCGGACAGACAGAGAGAGAGAGAGAAACAGAAGGTGAGAAATCACCCTCCAGGGGAGTGGCCACCCACAATCCCTTCTCCTCTTAGGGTCTTGGGCACTCATGCACAGGTGCATGAATTTTAAGCCACCGGGTTTGGGACTCAAACTGCGGTCGACTACATGGGAGTCCAGCAACGTAACCAGTACGCCATCTGCTGGTCCCGGCATCTCTTCTTACAAGGGCACTAATCCCATTTTGAAGGCCCCAGCCTCGTGACCTCATCTAAACAGAATGATCTCCCAAAGGCCCCGTCTCCATCACACTGAGGATAAGGGTTTTGACATATACATTTGAGGGGGACACAACTCCATCCTAGCAGAGGGGAAACATGGAAGGTTCATGGAACCCCTTTGTCTGCGCTGACCCAGGACTGATGGCCGTGCAGCCTCCTGGTCTTCTCTGTGCCCTGCTCTGTAGCCCGGGTGGGCTTGGGGACTGGGGAGGCTGGTGGAGCAGCCTGCTGTGACAGGATCCTCACCTAGGGTGTCTGGGTCGTGTTCTAGTGTCACCACGCTTCCTCCCTCTGGGCCCAGGTACAGTCCTGAGCCATGCCTTGGTTCCTCTGGGCTCGGGGTACAAGCCAACCTGCAGGGTTAAAGCAAGCTAACTTTCAAATCTAGTTGCACAATCCCACGCTAGTCTCTGATCTGAAGCGATCAGACTCTGGCACCGATGAGCTAGGGTGGGGTGGAGCCAGTCCTGCTCTGTTTGTTTTTTTAACAACAGCTTTATTGAGATATAATAGCATGCCATATAATTATCCCTTTCGACGTGTCGAACCCATTCAGTGCTTTTTATTGTGTTCACAGGGTTGTGCAACCACCACCACAGTCAACCCGAGGACACTTTGGTCACCCTCAGAACAAACCCTGTTCCCTTCTGCAATCCATCTCCACCCTGCCCTCGATGCCACTGAGCCACCTTCTATATACATCTTAATAAACGCACAGGGGGCTTCAGAGAGTTGTGGGCAGTGGAGTTAAAAGATAAAAATTAAAAACATAAACCTGGTGGTGAAGGTGACTGGATCCTACATGGCCAAACTTCTACCCAAGCACAGGACTGGGTAGCTTGAGAAGCATGCCAGATATGTGTGCATGCGTGTCTGTGTGTGTGTGCCCAGGATCCCAAAAGGAGGGATTTTGCATCCACCCACAGGGGTGCTTTCTTGCTTTCCCTCGCTCTCGGGAGAGCACACGAGCCATTTGGCAAATTAACACACACACACACACACACACACACACACACACGTATTTAGGTAAGAAAAAAATATATACATTTTATTTCTCAACATAAGCTCCACCAAGATCAGGACATTTTTGTTAGCAGTGTCAACGGCCATTCAGTCTATCCCTAATGAACCGAGGGGCCTGGGAACTTAACCATGTCAGTGTAGACGTTTTTGCATTGCTAACTGAAGAAAAATGGGTGCCTTTAAAGATTTTTTAAGATTAGCAAACAAAAAATAAGTTAGGAAGAGCCAAATCAGGACTGCAAAGTGGAGGCCTAATAATTTCCCATCCAAACTCTCGGTGGTGTGGTGGTTAAGGGCGCTGGACTCCCACATGGCCAACCACAGTTGGAGTCCCAGACCTGGCAACTTGCTTTCTCACCTTCTCTCTCTCTTTCTCTCTTACTCTTGTTCTGTCCCTCTCTGTCAAATAAAAAAAAAATAAATAAAGTTAAATAAAATAATTCTTAAAAAAAAAAAAAAAAAGGTATGCTTTGAAACAAAAACTTCTCCCAGGGGCCAGCAGATGACATAATGGTTATGTTGCTGGACTCCCATGTAGTCAGTTGTGGTTTGAGTCCTGGACCTGGCAGCTTAAAAACTCCTTCCAGGCGTGTGTACGTGTGTGTCCAAGATCCCCCTAGGAGAATGGAGGAGAAGGGATTGCCGTGTGGCCGCGTGGCCGTGTGGCCATTCCTTCTAGGGGGTGATTTCTTGGTTTCTGTTTCTCGGTCTCTCCAGCCATTGTACGTGCCTTCTAGCAAAAACAAACAAACAAACAAACAAAAAACTCTAAAAAAAAGAAAAGAAAGGAAAAGGAAGCTCTCCCACACTTGCCTTGGCTGGTGAGAGGAGTGAGCGGGAATATTATCAAGGTGTAGGGCTCTGGCGAAGCTTTCCTAGGGGTTACTCTGCTGCAGTGTCGGCTTACATTCTCAAACACTCTCATCCTAAGCAGATGTCATTCTTGGGCTCTCCAGAAACTGAATAAGCAAAAGGACTTGGAGCAGCCCCCAAACCTGCTGTCATGACCTCTGTTCCTGCCCGGTCTGCTTTTGCTTTAATTGGACCACTCCCACCTCTCGGTAGCCACTGCTTTTGTCTTCAGGGTTTATTTCATCTTCTTTTACAAGTCTTCCAAGAAATGCTTCAGGATCTTTTTTTTTTTTTTTAGAAATGCATTTTTTTAAATTTATTTATTCATTTGTTTATTTCAATTTGGCCAGAGAGGGACAGAGAGCGAGAGAAAGTGAGAAAGCAAGCCACCAGGTCCAGGACTCGAACCAAGGTTGGCCATGTGGAAATCCAGCACCTTGAACCACCATGCCACCTGCTGGCCCCTGCTTCAGGATCTTGATCCCACTCAAAAATTTCCATTGAAAGCTCTGCTCTGGTCTACAGCTGATCTGGGTGCAACCGTTTGCCCCTCACTGAGTAGAAAGTTTGCTCAGTTTTAATTTCCTATCAGAATTGCGTGAACTGAGCCAGCTGAGATATTTCTGGTGTTGTCTGCTGTTGTTATTGTTAATGGCCAATCCTCTTCAGCTAGGGCAGAAACCAGATTAATTTTTTCCTTGCTAACTGATATGGATGGTCTGCCCCCGTGGAAGTCATCTCCAACATTGCCTTGTCCCTTCTTAAGATGAGTTATCCTTTTTTTGACACACATATACATTTTTTGTTGAGACGTTTTTGTTATAGGGTGCGTGCCCTTGCTAAAAAGACAGAGAGAGACAGAAAGTGAGAAATCACCCCCCAGGGGGGATGGTCACGCCGCAATCCCTTCTCCTCCATCCTCCTCTCGGGATCTTGCGCACGCATGCACACGCACCTGGCGTGACTTTTAAGCCACCGGGTCCAGGACGCGAACCGCGGTCGACTACATGGGAGTCCAGCGACATAGCCATTACACTAACTGCTGGTCCCCTGCCTTGTCCCTTCTTAAGATGAGTTATCCTTTTTTTGACACACATATACATTTTTTGTTGAGACGTTTTTGTTATAGGGTGCGTGCCCTTGCTAAAAAGACAGAGACAGAGAGACAGAACGCCAGAAATCACCCCCCAGGGGGATGGCCACGCTATACTCCCTTCTCCTCCATCCTCCTCTCGGGATCTTGCGCACGCATGCACACGCACCTGGCGTGACTTTTAAGCCACCGGGTCTGGGATTTGAACCACGGTTGACTACATGGGAGTGCAGCAACATAGCCATTATGTCAACTGCTGGTCCCGACACGTAAACAGTTTTTAAATTGCCAGAGGGTGTGCTCACTGGAGAGAGACAGAGACAGAGGGAGAGACCACTCCCAAATGGAGTGTGGTCACACTGCAATCCCTTCTCTTTCATCTCTCCATTCTCTTGGGATTTTAAGCATGCATACATACACGACTGGTGTGTTTTTCAAGTTGCCAGGGCAGGGTTTGAACTGTAGTCGCCATGTGAGATCTGGCATCCCCCCACCACTAGGATACAGGGCTGGCCTGAGTTATCCATTTGCAAATTGCCAATTCTTTTGGGACATTGTCCTCATAAAAAAAATAGAGGGATCAGTGGGTGGTGTGGTGGTTAAGGCACTGGACACTCCCACATGGCCGACCATGGTTTGAGTCCTGGATCCGGTGGCTTTCTTTCTTTTTTTTTTTTTTTCTCTCTCTTTGGTCAAATTAGAAGTAAATGAATGGGAGCTGGCAGGTGGTATGGTGGTTGGGGGCTCTGGACTCCCACATGACTGACGGGTTCGAGTCCCGCACCTGGTGGCTTGCTTTCTCACTTTCTCGCCCCTTTCTCTCTCTCTCTCTGTCCCTCTCTGGTCAAATTAAAATAAATAAACAAATAGTCACATAAAATAACTTTTTAAAAAAATGAATGAATAAATAAAGTTAAAAAAAAAAAAGCTTTCTTTAAAAAAAATAATAATAATTGGGAGGACCAGCAGTTAGCGTAATGGTTATGTCACTGGACTCCCATGTAGTCGACTGCGGTTTGAGTCCCAGATTTGGTGGCTTAAACTTACGGCAGGCACATGTGCGTGCGTGCCCGAGATCCCAAGAGGAGAATGGAGGAGAAGGAATTGCGGCATAGCCATTCCCCCTGGGGAATGATTTCTTGCTTTCTGTCTCTCTGTCTATCTCTGTCTTTCTGGCAAGAGCATGCAACCTATAGTAAAAATCTTTCCAAAAAGAAGGAAAGAACAAGAAAAGGACCCTTTAACACAATAGGATGAGACATTTTCCTCCAGAGCGGACTCCAGGTCCTTCCCTGGAGTGTGGAGATACAGGGAGCCACCTTCAAGGGCCTTCTGCTTGAGCCCACTCGGGCTGGGACCTGGGTGGGGACCAGGGCTCTGGGCACTTTCCTTACCCGGCACAGCTGGATCCACTCCTGCTTACGGAAGGCTGACAAGAACAAGGACAATAAGATGAGCTTCAAGGAGCTGCAGAACTTCCTGAAGGAGCTCAACATCCAGGTGGATGACAGCTACGCCCGCAAGATCTTCCAGGTGCGGCGGGAGGTGGCTGGGCCTGCGGGGCTGTGTCCTGGACCCTACCTGAGGCCTGCTCTGAGCCCTGACACCCGGCTGCCCCGGCTTTGCAGGAGTGTGACCACTCCCAGACGGACTCCCTGGAGGACGAGGAGATCGAGACCTTCTACAAGATGCTGACCCAGCGCAGGGAGATTGACCACGTCTTCGCCGAGGCCGCGGGCTCCGGGGAGACCCTGTCTGTGGATCAGTTAGTGACCTTCCTACGGCACCAGCAGCGAGAGGAGGCAGCCGGGCCCGCCCTGGCCCTCTCCCTCATTGAGCGCTATGAGCCCAGCGAGACTGGTGAGGGCCCAGCCAGGGCGGGTGACCTGTGGTCCCAGGGCTGCAGTGGGCTGGGACACCTGGAGGAGACACCAGCCTGAGGGAAGGGAGCTGCAGAGAAGGGGCAGCCCAGCCAGCCCCTGCGCCCCTGGCCTGTGCTTACCTGACCCAAGAAGACAGGCAGATGGGAGGCAGGGTTCCGGCATCACTGGCCCTCTCTGGGCCTCAGTTTCCTTCTTGGTTCCACTTCAGGGGGCTTTGAGAACCCCATTCCCCTGGAAACAGCAACGTGGCTGGAAACACAGGCACTAGATGTACTCGCTTCTTCACACCCAGTGTGCACCCAACTTGGAGAGGTGATGGAATAGGGGAGACGGGGCCCAGTTTTGGGGCACAGAGACGGAGGAGATGAGACCTTACCCTCCAGGACCTCAGAGTCTCCCAGAGTGCCAGGTCGGCGGGACAGGAGACAGGGCCCCACTCTGGGTAACCATGATCTGCTCCAGCCAGACTCATCCCACTTCCAGGAACTCAGGATGGGCAGGCAGGCGGGGAGTGGAGGGTACTCCTTCCAGGCTGGTGGGCAGCGGGGAGCGGAGGGTACTCCTTCCAGGCTGGTGGGCAGCGGGGAGCGGAGGGTACTCCTTCTAGGCTGGTGGGCAGGCAGGGAGCGGAGGGTACCTCTCCCAGGCTGGTGGGCAGGCGGGGAGTGGAGGGTATCTCTCCCAGGCTGGTGGGCAGGTGGGAGTTGAGGGCACCTCTTCCAGGCTGGTGGGCAGGCAGGAGCAGAGGGACCTCTCCCAGGCTGGTGGGCAGACAGGGACCAGCGGTGGCGTCTGACTGATGCCGCCCGCCCCCTCCCTCCCAGCCAAGGCGCAGCGCCAGATGACCAAGGACGGCTTCCTCATGTACCTGCTGTCAGCGGACGGCAGCGCCTTCAGCCTGGCACACCTGCGGGGCGCACCGTGC